CGTCCGTCCGGCGGGCCCGCGCGCTCCGACCTGACCTGCGCACCCCTGGGCTCCGGCGCGCACCCTGCCACCCGTCCCCTTCTCCTCCTTTCCCGCCTTTCCCTCCGGCCTCCGGGCGGCCCCGGGCTTCGGGCTTCCTGTTGGGACGCGGCCACCACCACAGGGACAAGGGGGAGGAGTGGGGAAGAGACACGGATGGCGACGGCGGGCGGCGCTAAAATGGAGCCTGCTTCCTGCCTGAAACAATCCCGCTCCCGAAATGCCTTGCGCTGTTTACGCTCCGTGCCTCTCGCCGAACGTCACAGGGGGAGGGCGGAAGAAGCGGGGCGTGGGGGAGCGTGGGGGGCGTGGCCTCGGCGCGTCGCCCCGCCCCGCGCAGCCTGGACGTCCAGGGAACCTCCCTCCTTCCAAGGGCAGAGGAGCACTTGATCTGTGGAGTCTGCGGCTCTGCTCCCTAAGCTTCCTACCCTGCACCCTCGGGGGGTGCAGATTTCCCACCTGAAACGCTTGGTAGGCCTTGAGTGATTAATGGGAGACAGCATCCGAGGCTGTTACGTAATGTCCTTTTATTTATTGAGTGTCGTGTAACTGTTTCTCCTTACATATTGTTTGCTCTAGGCCTAGATATGAAGAATATCTTTAGGATCTGTTCTCTTCCTCCCAGGAAGTCTTGACTTCCTTGTGTGTGTTTCCTGGGGGCTTTCAAAGAAGTCTTCCATGAGGTCAGAGTGTGCGCTTCTCTCTAAAGTTTGTCGTCTACCACCTCTCACTTGGCTTAGCCCTGGCCAGTTTCACTGGTCCTCAACACACCTATCAAAGGCGTGGATTTGTTGAAAAAAGTTAGTTAGATTGTATTGCCCTAAGATTATGTTTGAGTCTTTAGAAAGTATCAGTATTTAAAGGAAAGGCAAATGTATAGTAGCGTAGAACATTTAGTCATACCGGAAAGCTAAGGATCAGGAGTTAAAGTGGCTCGGTTGTCAACCTGGGATGTTTTGAGCAGCTGTAAAGATAAAGTTGCATTAGATGAAAGTTATAAAAGACGCTTCAAGCCATGAAATCATTGTAGTTCCAGCAGTTCATTAAAACCCTTTGGATGGGGGTAGAAAACCAGCCAGTCATCTTTACCAGTTTTTGTTTTGTTTCTTGTGAAAGGCGCTTTCTCAAAAAGTCTATACTTGACTGTCCCGAATCCCATGACTCTCCTGCCTCTACCTCACAAGTGCTAGCATATGCTAGCATGCTGCGGTTCATAACATTTATCCTGACTTTCCAATTCAAATTGTAACTCAGAGACACCAAATGAGTAGTTGGTAAAGCAAATGTCCCGTTGTCAAAGAACCAGACAAGTAAGACATCACCGTTTTATAATCATTAATGAAATAAACATACATGTAATACATTACATAGAGTAATTAAAATAACAAACTGGCTGTGGCGGTACATGCCTTTAATGCCAGCACTCAGGAGTCAGAGCCTGGTTTACATAATAAGTTTCAGGGTATCCAGGGCTACAACAAGGAAACTCTGTCTTAAAAAAAACAAGTAGCTTTCTGGCGGTGGTGGCGCACGCCTTTAATCCCAGCATTCAGGCAGATCTCTGAGTTCAAGGCCAAACTGGTCTACAGAGCAAGATTCAGGACAGGCACCAAAACTACACAGAGAAACCCTGTCTTGGAAAAAAAAA